ACGCCCCACCTCGGGCCCCCACCCTCTTCCTTCCTCCGCTCCGCTAGCCCGCCCCTTCAATGGGTGAGGCGCCAGTGGAACCAGCCCCGCGTCCTGATTGGTGCAGGTGAGATCTGGCCCCGCCCTTCCTCTCCCTTCCTTGCACCCAGTTCTCTTCATCTCACCTCCTCCCGCACAGGCAGGGAACTCTGCAACTATTGGCTGAAAGTGTCCCCACCCATCGCTTTAGGCTCGCCCGCACTGCCTCCCGGGAATTGTAGTCGAGAGTTTGCAGGAATAGCCGGCAACCACTGCGAGTGGAACTACTAGTCCCCATAGGTACTTGCGCGACTCCGGCTGGGCAGGATTCCGGACAACGCCTGGTTCCTCTCGGGTCCTTCCGGCGTCGCCGGAGTGAATTGATCCGGGAGTTGAAGAGGGCTCCAAAGGTGGGAAGTGAAGTCAGTGCCTCAGTTGCAGGTAAGGTGTACCTACTCTGTCAGTCCTCATAGCTCCGCACGGAGCAGAGGAAGTCTGGGGTCACAGGAGGCCCGTGGCTGAGGCACTAGGGCTTGTTTCTGGCAGGCGGAGCGGACGGGGCTGGGAGCGGGGCCCTATGGGCGTAAGCGAGGTTACCCTACGCGAGTAGCGTAAAGCGGGTTTGTAAATGCCGCCTGCCGGGTTGGGGCCTGAACGCCTCCAGGAAGTCTTCTAGGTATGGGCGGAGGGGAAGGGCGAGGTTGGCCTCTGGTGCCCAGGGAGAGGGGAGAGGGCGGATGTGCCTGGGGTGGGGTCCTCTAAAGGTGTGGCGTGGGGTGGAGAGGTGAGCCTGCTGTTTTCCCTTTGCTTTCTTAGTAAGCTAGGGAAGCAGTAGAGGAAGGAAGGGGTGCTTGAGAGTCTGCTTTTGGGGTGATTTGGGTTATGCCCTCTGAGGGAAAAGGAGACTTGGAGAAAGAAGAGTCAGATGTTGACAGATTACGGATTCAGTTCCAATTTTAAGACGTGGCCCCTCTAAGAAGGTAGTTTTTCCCTAAGCAGGAAGCTTGATCCTCCTAAGTATGTTTGCACCTCCACTGTTTTTAAAGCGCTTTCACTTAGGGATGCTGATGAGGAAACTGAGGGAATACATGAAGTACCCAAGGTCACACTTACAGGGACAAATCTCAGTCTGGTCCAGTTAAAGTTCAGCTTCTGAACCCGAGGCTGCCGCCTGACGAAAGGAGTAAGGCCGATGGTCGTGTGTGTGTGTGTGTGTTCGTGTGTGTGTGCGTGTTTTTCCTTTTAAGACAGTAGAGGAAGTGGCAAACTAATGATATTTTATTTATATAGAACAAGATGTGTGAAAAGTGAAGTTTTTTTTTCCTTTTTCTCCCCACCCCCAGGTAGGGTTCTCTCACAGAAGCGTTCTCTAACCTTTTGGAAAAACAGAACAAAAAATCCGTCTCAGCTTTTGGTGTTTTCACTATTATTATGCTTACATTAAATGAAAGACTCCTTGAGACCGTTTTTTTTTTTTGGAGGATGATGTTTGACAACATATCCCATCATTGCAGTTAAAAGAATATTCTTTTCTCTTCTTGCTTTTCTCTCATTTTGTGTAACAGAATGTTGGGGTCGGAATTCTTTCACAGAATTTATTTTACATATTTTTTTTCAAATTATTCAGTATCAAGGAAAATAAATGTTCATTATTAGAAAAGGCGATGCATTTCTTGGGGGTAACTTTTTCGTTACGTGAAGCTTTTAATTTACTTTCCCCTCATTTTCTTGACTTCAGGGTATGTGTGTGTATTGTGTAGTGTATGCATGTAAATAACATGAGGATGTGTCATTTTTTCTTAGAATAATCTGTAACTTTTAATTCAGTCTTATTTTACATTAAAGAAAGAAAAATACTTATATTGAGCAGAAAGCAGTGCTTTTATTACGGACTTATTCTCTATGATTGTCATTTTTGTAAGTTATAGCTTATAAATGTTACTGGATAGTTTTTCAGTAGGATTATAAGAATGTATTCATTAATATCAGGATTTCTTTGTGAAAGAAGGAATAAATGTACAGCTATCAAATCAATCATAGTTTATAGTTATATAAGTTGCCCATCAAAATATGCTGTATTTTGAATGTACTTTGCAATTGTTGGTATTATCAAAAGTTAAATACAAAACCTTTTTCTAGGATCAGAGTTATATTTCTATGGTTGAAATGAAAATTTTTTAAAATATGACTTAAGATAGAGATGTGATACTATATATAGAATGACAGTGAATCAGGAATAACGTAGCACCATGTGTAAAGCAGTACAGGTAAGAATGAACCAATTAAACAAGTGGAAAATTATGTAGGATTTTGGCTGTTTGATGTATGGAAGACATCGTAATGCAGTGATGGCGAATCTTTTAGAGCTTTTAATGATACACATATCTCACTGCATCATGCATGACATAGGTTTGCCACCACTGTCCTTTGTCTTATATGGAATGATATCCAAAAGCTAGCACAAGGCTCCTACAAAGTCCAAAATGAAAACAAATTGGGATACTGGGAGCTACAAACAGCAGTAAAAGGACAAGTGTACTTATCATTCTGTGAACTAGTGTATGATTGAAAGACAACAAAACAACAGAAACAGTATTGCCCCATCGTAACTTAGGTGAAATATCAAAACTATAGTGGACCTTAGTGATAAAAACAATTTAAATAGGATTGAACCTACAACAAAAGCTAATACATATGGAACGTGTACATTATATCAGTTTTACCTAAATTTTCTTAGTTCCAAAGTTCTTTTCCTAATCATGTAGGTGTGTGTAAACAGTTAGAGCTCATGTCACATCTTCTCTATCAAAAAGGAATGTCCACACTGTCATCTAGAAAATACATTAATAATGTTTTTCCATCACTGACTCTTGACCAGTTTATGTCTACCTAAACTACCACACTTTTTTAATCTTAATCTGTCAAACAGTCAGGTATCCTACACAATTTCCTATTTTCATTCTATAGTATCACATACCTCCTATGTTAAAAGTCATATTAAAAATAAACTGTATTAACTTCATCCATAGAAACATAACGGTGCTATCTTCCTGTGTCTTTAACCTTTGTTATCACTTGTTCAGACAAGGTGACTTTGGAAAATTAAGTAGTTATTTTTTCAGAGGACCTTATGTTTTGGGTTTTTCTTGAAAATTTTCCAAATATTGTATATTTGAGTGGGTCTCAAGGTAGTATCTTATTTGCTTAAACTTATATACTTAGAAGAGTTAAAAAGATCATTATTTTAAAAACAAGCAAACAATTTCAAAGGTAAATTATATTTCACTTTGGTTTGAAAGTAAATTCTGGAATTACTTTGCAGTACCACACTAATGGAATAAAATATACCCAAAAGCTTTGAGTTTCTATAGACTTAGATCGCCTTCATGGATGTACCAGTACATTCTCTCACAAAATATTGTCAAAGGGTGCTTGGCTTTAAAATCCAAGGTTACTCCCCAGTTTTTATTACTAAATATAAAGTTTTGCTAAGTTCTAAATGTTTTAAAGTCTGTCCTTATTATAATGTCAATCTTGAAAAACAATTTTTTTTTTCCTCATTGAGTTTATTGGTACTTTTTAGGTATACAGTGCATTTATATTCATCATAGGGATCTTGTACCTTTACATGACAGGTGGTCTTGGTTCTCATTTTTTCCCCTTGTTCCTGCCCTTCCTTTACCCCCTCCTCCCTTCCCTATTTACAAATACTTTATTTCCATGGTTTCATTTTCTCATATATATTTACCTAGTATAACCAGAATGTGGGACATAAAACGAAGGTAGTTTCTTTTATGTTAAACTACTAAGATTATTTTGATAGGTAATGTTACTAAGAATTTTAAGCCAATTTCAGGTTACTTTTTTCTGTATGATATTAACTGGGAAAGTGTGATTTTGTGTTATAATGTGATTGCAGGTATGCTTCCTGGAATATTAGGCACAGTGGCAGTCTGAAATGTCACTGCATTTCTTTACTGCCTTTCTTCCCTTCATGACTACAACATCAAGGGGATGGACGTGTCTTCACTTTTCATCACTACCTCTCCAACTAGCAATATTGTTGACAGAGTATTCAGACTACTGTTATAAATACTAGGAGATTTTTTTTTTTTAATGGATGGATGAAAGTTTATATTTTAGGTGATAGAAAGGGCATGGGACATATGGATCATTGTGTGGGCAGTTAGCCTTGCTGGAATATTACTTCATGCATCAGTTCATGTGATAATTTGAGTCATAGCTTATAGGAAGGCAGAAACTGATAGTTTCTTTAATTTACCTTATGGTCTGTGGTACTGAAACTTGTCTCTCTGCCTTTTTTAGCCATCCTGTCTTACTTCAGGATGACCTGAAATCCAGCTGAAATTAGTTGTAAGGGATGACGAAACCCTAAGAGTGCAGCCCTGCTGTCTTCTCATGTTTAATGCAAGGTTATACAACAAAAGTCAGTTGAGAATGTTAAATGAGTCAGACCTAGTCTCTAAGGCAGCAACCCCTTTGTACCAGTTCAGATTGTTGCAAGGTTTTACTTCCAAAGGATTGTGGATATTGCTGTGGCCTTTTATTTAGAAATATAAACACTTTGTATATTTTTGTGTATTTTGTGCATATGCCTTTATTCATATTAAAATTGACATTTGGCAATTTCCTCAAAATTTGAGAGACTCTCAAGGTTCTACTTTAATTTTGGTGTTTGCCCTTAAAAATGAA